TTCAAAAGATAAGTAATAGATTTTTAGCAATCTGGCTAGATAGAAAAGGATATGTGAAGGATGAATATTATCAGAGGTGAGACTAATAGGTTTAAACCTAAAACCAACACCAAAACTATCACACAAGAGCTTCAAGACCTAAAACCTTGAGGTAGAAGGTTGAAAGAAGACGTAGAGAAACTTGGCCTAACTATCAAGGTCTTTTGGGTCTTGCTATAGCGATACTAAGGAATTTATTAAGATTAACCTTGTAAGTCTTTACTGATGATTTAGATAGTTTGGTTGGAAACTAAAAGTAATTCTTCTTCTCAAGTTCAGGTACAACAGGCTTCAGTATTTGTGAACTTCGTTCACAATATTATATATCATGTAGGTCACGGGATATATATAGCTTTAAACTTAAGCGAAAATAATTTTAAGGTTTATATTAAGTATATATTTATTTATTTATTTGTATCCTGAATTTTTATAAAATTTTCTTGCTATTTCTGGTGAAATTTGAGCACATACAACTAATAAAGGGTATATTGGATCATATAAATTTTCAACAAAGTAACAATATCGTTTTAGATAGCTTTTTATTGTAGAAAAAGCTGTCTCGATTAAATTAAGATTAGGCAAATATGAGGAAAGAAACTCTACATGTACTCCAAAGGTATCTAGATATTTGAGCAATCCATCATCATGATGGATGCGTGCGTTGTCTAAGACTAAAATGCTATTAGGGTGTGGATATAAGTTCATGTGTGGTAACTATATAATAAGTATTAGTTAATATTTTTGTTAAAGTTTTTAAACTACTATATTTTTACAAAATAATGCTCTATGTATTATTTTGTGAAAATATAATAAATATAATTTATATATACGACTTTATTGATAATAAATTCTTTAAACTTAGATTTTGTAAAATTTTCTTCTATTATATCAATAGCGACTATTCCCTGTAATGTTAATGCAGGACAAAGTATATATCGTATTCCACGCACGAATACAACTTTTTTTGCTGCCTGAGTATTAATCTCTAAGTATCCATAACCTCTTGTTATTGATCATTTATCTTTTGCTGATTCATCTATAAATATCAATTGCTTTGACTGATAATGAATACCAACATGTGCTATAAAAGCACTTCGTGTTAGTTCATTTTGTTCTTTTGCTTCTTTGCGAAGCTATAATAATATATAGG